TATGTCTGTGGGGTTTAGGAGCTGGCGTGCGCGGGGGTTGGTTTCAGAAAGTTTGGGTGTATTTTCTCATGCATTTATTCGGAGACTTTGTGCAGGCAGCGGGTCTCCTTTGCACCCCATGATTAACTCTGACTCGTTATGCAATGCTTCTGTAAACTGGGAATAATTCCAACTTTCTCGGTCGGGCGCGGTGGCGCATGCCTGTAATCCCAGCTACTCCAGAGGCCGAGGTTGGCACATCACGAGGTCAGGAGTTCAAGACCAGCCTGACCAACTTGGTGAAACCCGGATCCTACCAAAAATAAAAAAATTAGCCGGACGTGGTGGCGGGCGCCTGTAATCCCCGCTACTCAGGAGGCTGAGTCGGGAGAATCGTTTGAACCCAGGAGGCAGAGGTTGCAGCTAGCCGAGGTCGTGCCGTTGCCTGGTCAACAAAGCAAAACTCTGTCTCAAAAAAAAAAAAGTAAAAGCAAGTAATAATATTAACTTTCTCATCATGGTTAGGTTTTGTTTCATTTTTCAGAAATGGGGTCTCGTTCATAGCCCAGGCTGGCCTGGAACTCCCAGGCTCAAGCTATCTGCCCTCCTCGGCCTCCAGCTAGCTGGGACTGCAGGAGCACACCACCACGCTGCCCGAGTGCATTTTTTATTGACTGTAGAGACGTAGTCTCACTACTTTGCCCAGGCTGGTCTGGAACTCCTCGGCTCCAGCAATCTGCCTGCCTCAGCCTCGATCTCCGCCTCCTGAGCAGGGGCGCTTAGGGAACCTGGTGGGAAAACCTCTTTAATTCCCAGAATTTCAGGCTGCCTTTTCTCTCTCGTAGCTGTCTGCTTTTTAATAATGTATCGATTTACTTAATAAATAAAACGAGATGGCCTCTAGGTGTGTCTCCCAGGCTGGAGCACAGGGGCACAATCACGGTTCACTGCTGGGCTCAAGTGATCCTGCCACCTCCACCTGCCTCCCAGAGCGCTGGGGTGACAGGCGTGAGCCACCGCACCAGGCCTAATTTACTTTCAAATTGAGAAATATAAATATATAATTGTGTATATGTCTGGTGCACAGCAAAGGGTGTTAAGGTGTGTACGCATTGTGCAATGGCTAAATCGAGCAAACTGCCATAGGCTCTACCTCACCGTCTTATCATTTTTGGATAACTCTTGAAATCAACTTCCTTAGCAATTTCCAAGTATACTGTACATTGCTGTGAACTATAGTCACCATGCTGTGCAGTAGACCTATTTAATGTTATTTTTATTATTTTATTTTTTTTAAAAAGCTGTAATGGCCGGGAGCAGTGGCTCACACCTGTAATCCCAGCACTTTGGGAGACTGAGGCATGGGGATCACTTGAGGTCAGGAGTTTGAAACCAGCCTGGCCAACATGGCGAGACCCTGTCTCTACTAAAAATACAAAAATTAGCCGAGAGTGGTGGCTCACGCCTGTAATCCGAGCTACTCGGGAGGCTGAGGCAGGAGAATCGCTTGAACCCGGGAGGCAGAGGTGGCAGTGAGCCCAGATCAGCCACTGCACTCCAGCCTGGGGGATAGAGCAAGACTCTATCTCAAATAAATAAATCAAACGAAAAAAAGATAAAAATAATTTTAAGTAGGCCAGGTGTAGTGCCTCACACTTGTAATCCCAGAACTTTGGGAAGCAGAGGCAGGAGGATCATTTGGACCCTAGAGGTCAAGGCTGCAGCAAGCCAGGATTGTACCACTGCACTCCAGCCTGGGCGACAGAGTTTAAAAACCCCGACCCTACTAAAGGTAGTAGTTTAAAAAGAAGTTTAAAAACAAAAATAGATAACTTTTAAAAAATCCACTTTTATTTTAGGTTCGGTGGGTACCTGTGTGCAGATTCATTACATGAGTGTATTGAGTGATGCTGAGGTTTTGGGGATCACTGAAGCTGTTGCCCAGGATATGAGGATAGCACCCAATAGGTAGTCTTCCACCTTCGTGCCATCTATCACTCCAGAGTTTCAGTGTTTTGGATCCACGTCCTGATTTCCTTTCCTCTGTGTATATACCTAGAAGTGTAATTGCTGGATCATGCAGTTGTTGTACTTTTAGTTTTCTGAGGAGCTTCTGTACTGTCTCCTATATCGGCTGCACTGATTTACATCCCAGCACAGGGCGCAGAGGATCCCTTTCCTCCGAATCCTCACCCGTTCCATGTGCCTTTGGGAACAGCCCCTCTAGCAGGTGTGAGGGGTGCCTTGTGGTTTGGATTTGCATGTCCCCGATGATGAGTGATGATGAGCACGTTTTCCTAGAACTACTGGCCATTCACATGTCTTCATCTGAGACATCCGCACAGGCTCCTTGCTTCCTTCTAGTGGGTTATGTGTTTTCTCGCTTTGGAGTCGTTTGAGTTGCTTATATTTTGCATCGGAGCCTCTTGTGAGATGTGTGGCTTGTAAATATTGTCTCCTCCTCTGCCGATTGTCTCCCCCTCTCTGCCAATTGTCTCCCTGGCTGTCTGTCTGTTCTGCACTTGCTCAGAGTCCTTACAGGAGGCGTGGGTTTTCCATCCTCCAGGCTTCCAGTGAGCTTTCCCGAGACCCTCCTGGCAGTTTTTTCTCCTCTCTGCAGACCTTCGGGTTACTTCCCCCACCCATGTCTAGGAAAGCAGGGCTGCGTTCTCATAGCTGTAGAACTTGGATGATAATTGATACCTGGAGAGTATCACTCAGTGGCTCCTGCCTTTTGAAGCTACATTTAGAACCAAATTTAAAAAGAAAAAAAAGGCCGGGCGCGGTGGCTCAAGCCTGTAATCCCAGCACTTTGGGAGGCCGAGACGGGCGGATCACGAGGTCAGGAGGATCCGATGACCATCTGGCTTAACACGGTGAAACCCCGTCTCTATCTAAAAATACAAAAACTAGCCGGCGAGGTGGCGCGTCCTGTAGTCCAGCTACTCGGGAGGCTGAGGCAGAGATGCGTAAACCCGGGAGCGGAGCTATGCAGTGAAGCTGCGAGATCCCGCCACTGCACTCCAGCCTGGGCGACAGAGGAAGACTCCGTGTACTCAAAAAAAAAAAAATAAAATAAAATAAATAAAAAATAATAAAAAGAAAAAAAAAAAAAAAAAAGTCGGGCTGTGCGCGGTGGAACACGCCTGTAATCCCAGCACTTTAGGAGGCCAAGGCGTGGGAATCACCTGAGGTCAGGCATTTGAGACCAGCCTGTTCAACATGGCGAAACCCTGTCTCTACTAAAAATAAGAAAATTAGCTGGGCGGGGCCTGTAATCCCAGCTACTTGAGAGGCTGAAGAAGGAGAACCACAGGAACCCACAGAGGTTGCAGTAAACTGAGATGGCACCACTGCCCTCCAGCCTGGGCAACAGAGTGAAACTCCATCTCAAAAAACATAAATAAAAGAATAAAATTTTAAAAAAAATCGTAGTGCCAGCTGCCAATACAGTCACACCTGTAATCCTCCAAATTTTGGGGAGCGCCGGGCCAGTGGATCGCTTGAGCCAGAGTTTGAGACCCAGCCTGGGCAACATGGCAAAACCATATTTATTACAAAAAATAACCTATAAAAATATAGGCCGGCGCGGTGGCTCAAGCCTGTTAATCCCAGCCTACTTTTGGCAGGCCGAGACGGGCGGATCACGGAGCGTCAGGAATCGAGACCATCCTGGCTAACACGGTGAAACCCCGTCTCTACTAAAAAAATACAAAAAACTAGCCGGGCGAGGGTGGCGGTGCCTGTAGTCCCAGCTACTCGGGAGGCTGAGGCAGAGAAATGGCGTAAACCCGGGAGGCGGAGCTTGCAGTAAGCCGAGATCCCGGCCACTGCACTCCAGCCTGGGCGACAGAGCAAGACTCTGTCTCAAAAAAAAAAAAAAAAAAAAAAAAAAATTAAGCGGGCGTGGTGATGCGCTTGTAGTCCCAGCTACTCGGGAGGCTGATGTGGGAGCACCACTGGAGCCCAGGAGGTTGAGGCTGAGGGAACCATGGCTGCGAATTTCCTTCCAGCCTGGATGACAGAGCAAGACCCTGTCTCAAACAGAAAAAAGAAAAAATCTTTCTATGGTACGATCCCACTACCTGAAAATTTCATAAGACTTTAATCCATTTTATGGAATGAGATAAGGAGTAGAGAAACTCCTACAGACAATAAACAGATTAGCGATGGCCAGGGGCTGGGGTGGGTGGGGCAGGAGGTAATTATTGATGAGGATGGCATTTCCTTTTGGGGTGATGCAATAATTCTGGAATTAGAAAGTGGTGATGGTTGCACAAAATAGTGCGTGTTCTTAAGTAAAAGTGATGAATTTTATAAATGTGTGTTTTACCAAAGCAACATCATATCTTTGCAGGAGCTTAATTCTCATAGGATTTTTTACTGCCACCTCTTTCCTGCAGCAAATAAATATCCTGGGGTTATTTGTAGAATAATAGAAAACAGGTGCTGGGGACAATCGTAGGTTGTAACTATTAATATTTTTCTCTAGCTTTTTGTGTAATTATGGCTAAGGGCTTTGCCTTGGATCTTGTCTTGATGGGAAAACATAAAGAACTGACATTATTGTTACATCAGATTCTAGGAGCTTCACGTACATATCCGATTTAATTTACAATCAAGAACAATGTTGTTCCAGTTGAAAGGAAAACCAGTTCCACCTCTGCATAATGATCCCTTAGAGATCAGAATCCAGGGGAGCATTCAGATTTTACCCCAGAACATGTAGTCAGGTGTAGACACTGGAAGAATAGAGTGGCTTCATTTCCACAGTGCTGAGTCCAATGCCAATGGACAAGTGGGGTCCGGGATTGGGATGAGGGATTTGGAAGGGAGGGATAGGTAGAGTAGAAAGTTAAAATGGTTGGGCTCATATGTTTTTTTTCCCCTGCAGACTTCTGAACAAACCGTGATTCTATTACTGAGAAAAACCAGGGGCAGCCTGTGTAGCTAGGTCTCAAGTAGATACCGGCTACTGGAAGAGCTTGTTCAGAGGCGGGTTGAAATATTCTCCAGTAGATATGGCTGCAAATCGCACACCCTCATGGGGTCAGAGAGAACCCTGCAACAGACCTAGGTCAGAGACTCCATGGTCTGTGGCATCCCCGGGAACTCAACTTGGAAATCACCGCAGGAACCCTGAGACTTGGCACCTGAACTTCAGGATGTTCAGCTGCTCGGAGGATTCGGACCCCATCCAGGCTCTGAGGAAACTCACTGAGCTGTGCCATCTGTGGCTGAGGCCCGACCTCCACACCAAAGAGCAGATCCTGGACATGCTGGTGATGGAGCAGTTCATGATCTCCATGCCCCAGGAGCTCCAGGTCTTAGTCAAGGTGAACGACGTGCAGAGCTGCAAAGACCTGGAGGACCTGCTGCGAAACCACAGAAGACCCAAGAAATGGGTGAGTGGGACCCTCCTGATTGGTGCAGGGAAGGGGAGCTGGGATGGGGGCCAAAGAATTCTCCAGTCTCAAATATCAGCACAGTTAATATTGCAAATCCCTGGTGTAGGCGATGGACAGGCAGAGGGGATACAGGGACCCACACACTGTGTGAGGCCAACATGAGAGAAAGACATTGGTAAAATATTACACCTGATGGAATGTAGGGAAGGAGGCATTAGAGTGAACTGAAGGGGGGCCCAGAAGTCCCATCCTGAGGCAGGGAAAGTGGTTGGTATCAGAGATGCAGGGATCTGTCTCCAGGTCCCCAAATGAGCCCCTAAGTTCTAACACAAGGTGAGCTGCCATTGGCCACTTGAGTTGTATTCACCCAGAATATTTCTCCTTGTCTTCTCTTTGGTTTAGAGACCCTTTCCTCCAAAGGATTCGTATTTATGTACTTATCTAGAGAGAAAAATACTGAGACAGGATTGCTGTGTCCACAGAGCTGATTCTGCATCAGGAAGGCAGATTTGAACATTTATTAGTCAAGTGTGAGCATTATGGCAGGACCCAGGGAATATGAGAGCTACTTTCTTTTTTTTTTTTTTTTTGAAACGGAGTCTCGTTCTGTCGCCCAGGCTGGAGTGCAGTGGCACAATCTCAGCTCACTACAACCTCCGTCTCCTGGGTTCACATCATTCTCCTGCCTCAGCCTCCCAAGTAGCTGGGATTATAGGCGCTCGCCACTGCCCCCAGCTAATTTTTTGTATTCTTTAGTAGAGACTGGGTTTCACCATGTTAGCCAGGATGGTCTCGATCTCCTGACCTCATAATCCGCCCACCTCGGCCTCCTGAAGTGGTGGGATTACAGGTGTGAGCTATCGCGCCCAGCCATGAGAGCTACTTTCAAGTTCTCATAGTGAGTCTGATTGTCTTTTTTCCCTCTACAGTCTGTGGTCAACTTGCTCGGCAAAGAATATCTTATGCTGGACTCAGATGTCGAGATGGCTGAAGCCCCCGCCAGTGTCAGGGATGATCCGAGAGGCATGTCCAGCCAGCGGGCCTCCTCTGTGAACCAGATGCGTCCATGGAAAGGCCAGGCCCGCCGAGAGCTGCATACCCTGCCCAGGGTCCCTGCACCGTCCAGGAGGCAGGTGAGTGTGTGAGGCCTTGGTGTCTGGGTGGAGGTGAGAGAAGGAACGGGAAGAAGTCGTGTGGCTGCTGGACTGATTGACAGATTTGGCACAGGACAAGATTAGAACCATTCCCCATGGACATGGTATATCCCCAGACATTCATTCCTGAGCCATCTCAGAGAGGGAAACCTCATCTACTTCTCCCTCCACCATGAGAGCTTTTAGCATTGAGGGTGGGGGGTAAGAAATGGTCTCAGTGAAGTGAGGGAGGCAGTTGTCACAGATGAATGAAGATCCCTTCCCCATAGCCAGTTACCTCAAAGACATTTCATGTAATAATTCAGCAAGGAACCCACTTTCTACAGATTGTCAATTTCTTAATTGGAGGAATATTTCTCAACTGGGGTGATTATGCCTTTCCGGACACATGGCCATGTCTGGAGACGTTCTTGTTTGGCATTCTCGGGGGTGGTGGGGTGTTAGTAGCATCTAGAGGGTGGAGGCGGGGTTTCTGCTCTGCACAGGAGCGCCCCCTCCAGGAGGGTGATGCAGTTGCAATGCCAATGGTGCCACAGGTGAGGGGCCTCCACCTAGAGTCATGCTCCTTCCAGCCTCAGGGGCAGGGAGAGGTTGGCACAGAGGGAAGAAATATGCTCAGAGAACCAAAGGGCGAAAACCACCAGGCACAGGAGCTGATTTAGAATATGGAGGGTACAGATTAGGGACAGACTCAGACGTGAGGCGGTGATGTTTACTGGGGGTGAGGGGGTGGTCCACAGGAAGTCTGCACATATTTCCACACCTGTGTCATTAGAAGAGTCGGTGCATCCAGTCAGAAGGGGACAGACATGTCCGTGCTTCCCCCGGTTTAGACGTGGAGTCATTGCTCTTGGTTTTCCGTTGTCAGGAGGAGGACTTCCGACTGCCAAAGACTATTGTCATGAAAGGAGGTCCAAAGACTCTGAGACCCAAGCTGACCTTGGAGAAGGGTCTGAATGTAGACAGAGAGGAGAACCCAGGACTTACATCCCCAGAGCCTCAGCTTCCAAAGCGTCCCAGTGAGTATGAAGACTTGGACCTGGAAATATTAGCTCCTCTCTTCCTGGGTATGGGTCTGGGGGCCCAGCATTATCATGTCTGGGGAGTGGGCACTCAGCTGCCAAAGCCTCTTCACCCCCCCCTCTCCAGAGACCTACGGTCCAACGTCTTAGTCTTGAGGTTGAGGGGAAGTTGTCAGCCAAGGTCAGTGTTTGGTTGCAATGAGTTTGGTGTATTGAAAATGCGCTTTATTAACTGTTGTGTGTGGAATCCCTTCTTCCAGCAGATCTGGTGAGAGCAAAGGAGGGGAAGGAACCCCGAAAAAGAGCCTCTGTGGAAAATGTGGATGCCGACACACCTTCTGCCTGCGTTGTGGAGAGAGAAGCTTCGACTCACAGCGGGAACGGTGGAGAGGCTCTGAATCTGAGCAGTTCCAAACCAGACGCCACCTCCATTTCCCAGGAAGAGCCTCAAGGAGATGTCACACCTGTGAGCAACAGAGAATCCCCGGGACAAGCTGAGATCAATCCAGTTCATTCCCCGGGCCCTGCGGGCGCAGGCAGTCACCCCAACGGCCAAGAAGCCAAGGCCCTGCCGTCCATTGTGTGTGACGTGTGCAGTAAATCGTTTAAGTATTTTTCCCAGCTAAGCATCCACAGGAGATCACACACAGGAGAGAGACCCTTTCAATGCGATCTCTGTTGGAAGCGCTTCTTGCAGCCCTCCGACCTCCGAGTTCACCAGCGAGTCCACACTGGCGAGAGGCCCTACTCGTGTGATGTCTGCCAAAAGCGGTTTGCCCACGAGTCCACCTTACAGGGCCACAAGAGGATCCACACGGGGGAGAGGCCGTTCAAATGTAAATACTGCAGCAAAGTTTTCAGCCACAAGGGGAACCTGAACGTTCACCAGCGCACTCACTCCGGAGAGAAGCCCTACGAATGTCCCAAGTGTCAAAAGTCCTTCCGTCAGCTGGGGACGTTCAAGCGTCACCTGAAAACACACCAGGAAACCACCTCCCAGTGATTCCAGAGTCAGGTCCACATCCTGCACCCCAAGAGACAGTGACTGATGATTTTTCTCCAATGTTACCAGAGGACATATACACATAAAGCACTTGGTAGGAATTGCCCAGATGTTTGAGTAAATATTTATCCTCCCCCGTGAGTTTTGTTTTCTGTTTGATTATGTCTCTTGCTTTCTTATAGATTTATCTTAGTGTCGGTTGCTGTTTGTCTCCCAATGAGAGCACAAGTCTTATCATTTTCCAATATCTTAAAAGAAAAAACTGAGCACAGTAGCACACAAGCGTAATCCCAGCTACTGGGGAGGCTGAGGCAGGAGGATTGCTTGAGTCCAAGGGTTTAAGTCCAGCCTGGGCAACATAGTGAGACTCCACTGCAACTCCACCTCCCGGGTTCAAATGTTCAAGTTCAAGCGATTCTCCTGCCTTAGCCTCCTGACTAGCTGGGATTACAGGCGCCCATCACCACGTCTGGCTAATTTCTATATTTTCAGTAGAGATGGGTTTTCACCATGTTGGCCAGGCTGACCTTGAACCCCTGACCTCAAGAGATCCACCCACCTCAGCCTCCCAAAGTGCCAGGTGTGAGCCACCATGCCCGACCTCCACCAGGAATTTATAATACTTATAAACTTAAATGATGCTAAAATATAGCTTCAAAATATGTAAAAAACCAAAAAAAAAAGGATCTAAAACTAATGAACGAATGAACAGGAAACAGGTCAGATATCCAGAAATTGCCAGAAATTACAACTAAGGACCCTCTCATCAGGTAACTAAAGGAACTTAAAATTGCATTAGTCTTGTTCAGGCTGCAGAAGCAATGGTAGGCCTGTGACCCACAAATGATCCCACGTGGGATACATGCCTAGTGGAAAGTAAACACCCACCAGTCCTGAGAAGCTTCAGATCAGAAAGGGATTGTGCAATGGAACTTCCCAAACCCTGGGAATCTGACCAATTCTCTAGGTTTCAGAACATCCTGAGACACACAAAGTTAAAAGATTCAGCATTATTGATTAAACCTTTGGAGCTGCTTATTTGCACATTGCTGATAATTTCAGCCGGCAGCTTAGTAACATAAGCTGGGATCGTCCGACTGCTCTCTGAAGTCTCGCCCATGGAGTGGACGTACTACCCAGGACCCGTTCCAACTGGGACTCCAGATGGCTGTTTCCAGATCTTCCCAGCACTGCTGGATCTGGATGTAGGTATTCTCCCCGGTTTGGTTAATATATATGTATGTATTTCCCTTTCCCCTTTTCTCACGTTAGCGTTTGCTAAGTTAACCCTTATACTCTTCTGCAAAGTTTTGATCATTAAACTTTTCTTTTGGCCAGGCATGGTGACTCGCGCCTATAATCCCAGCACTTTGGCAGGCCGAGGTGGGCGGATCACCTGAGGTCTGGAGTTTGAGACCAGCCTGACCAACATGGAGAAACCCCATATATATACTAAACATACAAAATTAGCCAGGCATGGTGGTGCACACCTGTAATCCCACCTACTCAGGAGGCTGAGGCAGGAAAATTGCTTGAACCTGGGAGACGGAGGTTGCAGTGAGCTGAGATCGCACCATTGCACTCCAGCCTGGACAACAACAGTGAAACTCCCGTCTCAAAAAAACAAAAAAGCAAAACGAACAAAAAAAAAACCAAAAAATTTTTCCTTTAACTGCATTTGAGTGTAACACTGTGGTTTCTTTGGCCTGTGAATTCTCAAACTCAAAACGAAAGTAAAACTCAGCAAAACAATAATCCAAAATAGCAATAGGTTATATTTTCCCAGTCCCTCACCTGACTCTGTCATCCTGGATTTCCCAGTCCCTCACCTGACTCTGTCATCCTGGATTTCCCAGTCCCACACCTGAGCCTATCATCCCGGATTCTGCTACCCCTAAAAAAATTCCCAGACTAATTAAAAGGGAAAAGATTGACTATTTGACAAGGAACATTTTGTTATCTCCATTCTGCTCCAAACTGCCTCTCCTCATTTTGAAGGAGACTCAGGTAGGTTGAAAGAATATGGAAGAGTAAGTATGCACTTTGAAGAATCTTTTCAAATCAAGACACAGACTCTCAGACTTAAGAGGGTTATTTGTATTATTCAATAGCTCGTGTGATAATTGGGACGATTCCAAAAGAACACAATTACTTTAAATGTGTTGCAGGAATATTCCCTGATTACCCCAGAACCTTCCAAGTAGTCCTCGAATTACTATTAGTTTCATTAACGACACGTTATACTGACTCCAACGACGAATCAATAAAACCTAAGACACTCCAGAAGTTTTATAGAATAATTCAAATGCTTTACAATGTCTTCATGAGACCTGGGTATTTAACTTCAGGATCTTAGTCTCAACACAGGGTACCTAGAAAGGGTTTCAGAGGGAACAGAAGGAGCTGGAGAAGACGGATATGAATAGGGATTCAGAGACATCTATGACTTCAGGACATCTTCCTCCTTGGGAATTTTCTTGCTGAGCACGTCCAGATCTGTGGGAGAGAAAGAGGTAAACTTTGAATGGTTTTTCTCACTGTCACTCCCCAAACCAGGTTCTTGAGGTTGGGAATGAAAATGGGAAGGAAGATCTCTTTAGTTCATCTAAGATCCAACAACCTTTCCTTTTCCCTCTCTCTTTGCTTTCATTTTGTTTTTTTTTTCTCGAGGATGAGTCTCGGCTCCATCTCCAGGCGGAGGGCCAGTGGAGCAATCTCAGGCTCACTGCAACTTGTTCCTCCAAGGGTTCAAAGCGATTGCTCCCTAGTCTCAGGTGCCCTCCTATAGCTTGATACGGCGTTGCGTTGCCACCCGCCCGGGATAATTTTGGATTTTAGTACAAGAGGGTCGGGGGTTACCACGTTGACCAGGCATCGCGGGTCTCAAACACCCTGACCTCATGATCTCAGTTCTCGCCTCCAAAAGTTGATGGGGGCTTGGGTATTACAGTGTGAGCCACTGCACCCACTAATTTTCGATATTTAGTAAGAGACAGGTTTCAACCATGTTGGGCCAGGGCTGGTCTCGAAACTCCTGACCCTTGTGATTCTGCCCACCTTGGCTTCCCACTGCTGGGGATTACAGGGCCGCGATCGGTCGTGGAGCCACTGCACCCAAGCTAATTTTTGTTAGTTTTAGTTTAGGAGGATGGGGAATTTTCACCATGTTGGCCAGGCTGTTTTTCTGAACTCCCTGGGACCTTAGGTAATATCGCCCACCACGGGCGTGGCCTCAGAGTGCTGGGTGGGATTTACAGGCGTGAGCCACCGTGCCTGGACCTCTTTTCTTACGTTTCACGCCCACACATTTTCCCTTTCCGCTCCCATTTAAGGAAGTACTATGTGGGGGGATGGATTTTCTTTGTTTTGTTTTCTTTTGTTTTGTTTTTTTGAGACGGGAGGTCTGCTTCGTTGCCGGTGGCTGCGATAGTGCCAAGTGGCCGGATCCAGCTCCACTGCAAGGCCGCCTCCGGTCACCCGCGATTTCTCCTCCTCAGCCTCGCCGAGGTAGCTGGGACTACAGGCGCCCCGCACTCGGCCCGGCTAGTTTGTTTGTTATTTGTTAGTAGAGACGGGGGGGTTTACCGTGTTCGCCAGGGGAGCGTCTGACTCTCCTTGACCGTGATCCCCGTCTTGTGCCTCCCAAAGTGGCTTGGGATTGATTACAGCTTGAGCCACCCGCGCCGAGCAGGAGAGTTTCAAGAGTCGGAATGTAATCGAGGAAGGTGGACCGGGTCCGGTGGATCAAGCCTTCTAAATCCCACCACTTGGCGAGGCCGACGATGGGGGGATCACGAGGGCAGGAGATCGAGACCCCATGCCTGGGCGAACACAGTTTTGGAAACCCCTCTCTACTAAAAAATCCAAAAAAAAAAAAAAAAAAAAAAAAACTAGCCGGGCGGATGGGTGGCGGCGCGCTAGTGCCAGCTGACTCGGGAGGCTGAGCAGGAAAATGCGGTGAGTGAACCGAGGAGCGGCTGCCAGGATGAGCTTGGAGATCCTGCACTGCACTCCAGCCTGGGCGACAGAGCGAGACTCGTCTCAAAAAAAAAAAAATGTAATCGAGGCGAGGATGGAAATTTGTGAATTCAGGGAGCGTATCACACCCAGCACGGTCCAATACATGCTTCTGAAATGAATTAGTGCCGTTGAAGTAAGGACATAGCGTCTCCAAGAATTAGGTTAGGATTGCAGAAGGAGATGAGGGTTGGGGTGAACGTCCAACTAAAGGAAGGCAGGAAAAGCTGGGGTTTGGGCATCTGCTGAGTTCATGATCGGGTGTGAAGGTGGCAGCTGAAGGCTGTGTTTGGATAGTTTAATTCACTGATTTAACAAATATTTACCAAGTACTTACTATGCGTCATGCATTGTGCTGGGCAGTGTACAATACAAAGGTCCCAGGCGCGGTGGCTCACGCCTGTAATCCCAGCACTTTGAGAGGCCGAGGCGGGCAGATCACCTGAGGTCAGGAGTTTAAGACCAGCCTGGCTAACATGGCAAAACCCGGTCTCTACTAAAAATACAAAAATTAGCCAGGTGTGGTGGTGGGCGCCTATAATCCCAGCTACTCCAAAGGCTGAGGCAGGAGAATCGCTTGAACCTGGGAGGCGGAGGTTGCAGTGAGCCAAGATCACACCAGTTCATATCAGCCTGGGCAATAGAGAGAGACTCCTTAAAAAAAAAAAAAAAAAAGAATGAATGCTGGAAACAAAGATCTTATTTAGGAGAGAGGCTGATGTTAAAATTGAACCATGAGGCCAGGCACGGTGGTTCATGCCTGTAATCCCAGCACTTTAGGAGGTCGAGGCAGGCAGATTACCTGAGGTCAGGAGTTCAGGACCAGCCTGGCCAACATGGAGAAACCCTGTCTCTACTAAAAATACAAAAATTAGCTGGGCATGGTGGCGGGTGCCTGTAGTCTCAGCTACTCAGGAGGCTGAGGCAGGAGAATCGCTTGAACCCAGAAGGTGGAGGTTGCAGTCTGCCGAGATCGCACCATTGCACTCCAACCTGGGCGACAAGAGCAAAACTCCATCTCAAATAAATAAATAAATAAAATTGAACCAAAAGGTCAAAGTGAGGGGTTTGACGTCAATGCTGTAGCTGAAGCTAAGCTTAAGGGGGTGATACTGGGGGACATCAAGGTTGGGTGTGGGGTCCTAATTGCAAAAGTGCTAGATGCAGGCCGGGAAATGAGAGTTGGAGCATGACGTGGGATGGGCGGTGAAGGAATAGAGGTGAAAGGAGTGGTCGAGGCCGGGATGGGAATTCACCGTCGAGGCTGAGTGGTTGGGTAGGGGCTGTGGCTACAGGTGAGGAGGTCCCTCGTTTGTTCCAGTTTCGTCCCTTTCTTCCTGTACCCTCAAAGCTCTGCCTGCCACTTCCTTGCTCCCCCTCTCCTGTTGGTGTCTCTCTTCCGTGTTTCCTGGCTTTACCTCCAATCTCCCCGAGAAGCTGGGACTACACGGCGCCACCACCACCGACGCCCTTGGCTACACTTTTTTCTTATTTTTAGTTAGAGGACGGGGTTTCCACTGTGTTCGCCAGGATGTCTCGATCTCCTGACCTCGTGATCCGCGCGCCGCCTCGGCCCTCCCAAAGTGCTGGGATTACAGGCTTGAGCCACCACGGGCCGGCCGCGTTGTTCCCGTCTTTGTGTCGTGTGTTCTCGTCCTTCACAGCCTCCACCTTATAACTACGAACGTCTGTGTGATGTTGTATCTTTGGTTTCTAGATGGGCTCCCGTATTCCACCTCATCGCAGCCCTCCAAGAGGAACGTGATGGAGACGTTTGCCATACACCA